GTTTCCATCGAAGTTTACACGTATCTCACTTTACATGGACCAGCGAAAGGGCTGCTACGAATCCTCGACCGCATCTGGCGCTATGCCACTAACCCACAAATCTTTGGAGGGTTCTATTATGACTTAAACAGACCTTGGGTTCAGCGGCTGCTAAACCACTCGTTCCGCCCACGTCTGACCGCCCAAAGCAATGCTCAAATGTTCAAAGATATTGTGTACCAACGACTGTCTCCGCGCCAACCCTGCATACCGGGTACCGATGACACAGGCGCTACCCTCGCTGGCCCTATTCAACTCTACAAACCCTTACGTGGTTCCACCGGATACCGAACCCTCTCCTGATGTCACTTCCACCATACGCCCCGACGATGTAATGGAGGCAATACTACGCTATCCCAATAAGGGACCTGGCCCCGACAGGATCCACATCCTCCTCCTGAAGGCCGCAGTGGAGCGCTCTACCGAACGCCGGACATTAGGACGCCCCGACGCCAATAGCCCACTGATTAGACTCCTTGCCGAAGCATTCACTGAGCTACTGAAGGCGGGTACCTTCCCCGCAGCCCTGAACTGCATCCTCCTGACAGTGCACCCAAAGAAAGCTGATGCAGATATCACCTCCCCTGCCGACTTCCGCCCCATCACGCTTACGCAAATAGTCAGACGCATCTTTGAAAAGTGCTTTCTTAATCTGATTACGAGCCACCCCGGCTTTGCTACCCATGCTACCCAAGCTGGCTTCAAATCACGGTACTCCTATCATACCCAAGCACTTGCCGCCATGGAATCTGAGACACAGTCGGAAGAGGAGTGAAACGACGTCTGTCTGGACATAACCAAGGCATACGACAAGGTCTATCCTACGCCTATGGGTACTTCTGCGTTACGCTGGAATGCCTGAGAACTGGATCAACTGCCTCCGCGCGCTGTTTGGGAGGGCCCTACCCGAGTGACATACCGCTGCACGCTCTCGTCTCTATTCCATAGAACGAATGGCATCATACAAGGCTCAATCGTCGGCCTCCAGCTCTTTATTATCTACATGGATTTCTTAGCTGTAGCGCTAGCACAATTTCGGCCCAAGCTCCTCCGCTCTTATTTATTTGTCGATGGCACACGGATCCAAACCCCTCGATCGGTTTCGCTCCAGCCCTTCTTAGATGACATTGATGCGTGGGGACGCAAATCTGGCCTCGAACAGGGTGTCATTAAACCCCGAGTACGATCTACAGACTTGCGACACGTGGCGCCAACCCTCCGTATAAATGGTGAGCTTGTCACGCCGACGCTTGCAGAAGCACCTTGGAACACACGTTACCTCCCCCTGAAACTGGCGCCCACACATGCCGAACCGAACCACTCCAAATACCTGGGGTTCCCACTCTCTCACGGAGTACCAGAAATCAACCTCGCCAGACATATGGAATCCCTGGTTGCAGCATTGTCACTGGGTATCGCCTCTTTCCGCGCTTATGGCTTCCATGGCTTCAGCTGGCGACACCCCCGCAACCGACTGGTGATGTTCAAAACATTCATCCTATCCACGGCTACATATGGGCTGAACATTATTGCCTGGGCTCCGCCTATATGGAAGGATGCGTTGGACCCCCTATTCGAGCGTTTTAACTCAGCACTCATCCAAGAAGCAGCCATCGTCACGGGCACTAAATACCCTCGGTTTCCCAAACATCAAACGAACTTACTCCACTTTTGCGGCCTGCTCCCCGCGCGACCATTCGCGGACTACCTCGGAGGTTGCCTGGGAGTACAACTCGACTCAATGGCAAGCAAAAATCCGCTTACACCTCTGACGCAACCCGCCTGGGCCCACGATAAACCATCACTGCGCTTCCGTACAGTATCTATGCTCACCTGAAAACTGTACACAAAACCACGGGCGGGCGTACACCCGACCATGTAGCCCTCCGCCAACGCTGTGACGACATCAGGAAGAACTCAACAAACCGTTGGTCCAACAAGGAGATCGCGGCAATGGCCCGGCGCCAATACTACTACCAACTGGTTATGGGTAAACCGCCAACCTCAAACCGAGACACAACCAGACACGACAGCTTCAATCGCTGCTTCGAATCTACACCAATCCGGCACTGTGCTATGATTGTAACGAATACGTACATGTTCACATTGCTCGACTACCGCACCGACGGCTGTCTCTGCCCTGTCTGCCCCGGTAGCCACAAGTTCACTACCAGCCACTTTACCTGCATCCAACAACTGATTTGACGCATCCTGGTAGGCCCGAAACTGCCGCCCATTGGCCCTGACCTCCATCAGCAATTACAGGAGTTCCACGACTTACACAGTACCTGGACCCTCCACGAACACTTGGATCTTTTCTCCAGCATGTTGAAGAACCACCGTACCCTCACCCGTCCCTGACACATCAACAGATGTTCCCTATACCCCGGCT